TCTGGAGTTGGTTCGGCAAAGCTCGCCTGGTTCAGGGCTCAGTGAGGTGATGAGAGCCCAGGTCGCGGCTTTGCGTGTCTCTTCCTTTGCCGTTACTGACTCCATTTTTTGCAGGCTCTTTTAAAGCCTGCGGGTTTGCTTCCAGGGTTGTTTGGTAGCGTCCATCCAGGTTCGAGTCTCAGTGGAGGAGTGAGCGTTCTTGTCCCCGCTTGGGAGGGAGCCTCCTGAGATTTTCCCTGTGACCAGACCACTCTGGTCACGTGTCCGGACTGTGTGCCGGGAACGGTGGGCTGCTGGGAAGGTCCGGAGCAAGTGAGCTGATGCCGGGTGGCAGAACAGCGCCACGTCTGCTCTAGGGGGACAGCTGGATGCCGGGGCTTGTGTTCCGAATATCGGGGTTTGGTTGATTCATACAATAGCCTCGAGACTATGTAATTTTCCTTGATTTTATTTAACCTATATGTAGGTAGGCTATTCTGTAAGGTTTTGCTGCATTGTATTACGGTTTTGACGGTCTCCTGCCATGATCGGGTCTGTCTTTTGAATTAAAGAATACCTGTTGTTTTGGTTTTACTGCATATAGGTAGAATCCTGTTTTAGTGACGACAGCTGTACTCTCTGTTTTGAATGAGAGAAGCTATTCATATTCTGGATAAAAGTCATATAGTACCATTTCACCTATGGAACTAAACATCTGTGAGAAATTCATAAATTGTATGTATTCGCAAATCCTCATCTATTTAGTGCCATGTCATTTTATTTTTTTAAGTTTCAAGTTTATTTATTTTGAGAGAGAAAGAGGGCCCTCAAGCAGGGGAAGGGCAGAGAGAGGGAGAGAGAGAGAGAATGTTAAGCAGGCTCCGTGCTGTGAGTGCATCGCCTGACTCGCTCAAAACCACGAACCGAGAGGTCGTGACCTGAGCCCAAGTCGAGTTGGACGCTCAACGGTCTTAGCCCCCCAGGCACCCTGCCGTGTCATTTTCATATAGGTTTCTTTCTGCTGATGTATGAATATTTGGAACTGTAGCTTAATATTTGCTGGGCTGTGGTGTGGTGGAAAACAGTTGGAAAACCTGATCTGAGGCTGCCACTCGCTGGGAAGGGTGAGGGCCGCCTGACATCTGGAGGCTCACTACTCCGTTTTTCTGCGTGTGTTTGGTGCTGGCGGCCAGCTGTGAGGTACTGATGTTATCCTTAGTTTGGTAAAGATCTGTAAGGCCACGTCAACTTCCTTAGTAAAAAGAATTCCAGAAGCTCCGGGTCGTATGCTCTGGACTTGTTGATGGGTGGGACATCTGGACCATAGGGTCCTAATTGTCTCTGAGACTCATCTCCTTGGGGGTTTCTCCGGAGTGGGGCGCAGTTCCCGTGCCCCTGCGTGGAAAGTCCTGCCCTTTTCCTACCTGGGCGCAGCTGGACTCTGAGCAGTTCACGGTCAGCATGCGTTAATAGACCTGTTGTTTGCGTTTGTTTTAAAATGTACTTGCCAGGCACACAGCCAGGCTCTGCGATTTTACAAATGAATAAAAATGGTTCTTGCTACTGAAGAACTTACAGTGGGGATGTGTTGGATTGAAAAACATGAAAATAGGATTTTAATATGTTGTAAATGCTGTGATAGTGGGAGAGGGTTTATTTTATATAAAACGTTCTTATAAATGGTGCCTTAAATTTTATTACTTTTTAGTGGACCAGCCTGTTTATCCCTGTGCTTTCAAACAGTCCAAACATTTTTAGATTTATTTCTTAGATTGTTATTCAGAGGTCGTGATCCTTGTATTTGGATAATCTCCTGTAAGTGAATTACCATAATTTTACCTATTTCTTCTCTATTGGGCGTATGTACCAGACCATCCTATAGCTTAAAGCCTTCACTGATGTACTTCTTTATTTGGAGGAGCTGTGTGAAATTTATAAACGTGGAAATTTATGCATACATGCTGTCTTACAGAGAGGTTGGTTCCATAATCAATTTTGAAATGTTCTCTTGATGATCTTGCAACTTGTACATTTATACCTTTGGTCAGAGAGGCTGTTTTATTGTGACATACTTTATCAGAGATAAAGTTACTAATGGTAGAAATGCCATGGAAGGGATTCCAGACTATTCAACAAGGAGGATTCTCGTCTGAAAACAGGAAATGGTGATTGATGGAATGATGCCCCTTCACCAGCACATAAAATGTGTACCTTAAAAAAATGAACTGTGGTAGTCCCTGTCTTCACATCAGAAGTGCCATGTTCTGCTGGAACTTTCCTCAGGTGCAGGGGTGCTACCTCCAAGGACCAAGAGTTTGTCAAGGCAGCAGATGGGGTAGTTGTGATGAGTTTATGAGCTAATGAAGCAACATAATCCCTTTTTATCTGATGGCTTTCCCTTCTAGTTCCTAGGCCTTTGAAGTGCCGTAAGTCTTGAAAAGGATTTGCACGGAGTTACCTGAGCTCATCTGTTAACTGGCAGATAGGAGAGCAAACGATTGCCACCAAGTTATTTCTTTTTTTTAAAAATTTTTTTTTTTTCAACGTTTATTTATTTTTGGGACAGAGAGAGACAGAGCATGAACGGGGGAGGGGCAGA